GACTATGGCTAACAGACCCACGATGTTTAATAAAACTCTTTCCGCTGTGTGAAAGCCGAGGTGATCTATCCCCTTCAGATGAATGACCGTTAAATCTGAAATCTCCAGACCTGCTTTTTTGCTTATTTTGACTGGTGACTGACTGCTTGACCCAACGACTGGTGTTTCCGATTCGATTATGTCGAGGAGAAAGCAAATGACTCAGATCTGTAGTAGCTGCGATTGCTCCAGAAGGCAAGGAAAATTGGTTTCTTCTGAGTGAAGCAACTGTATTTGCCCTGCGCTGATTATTTGATTTCTCCAATTTAAACTTTAATTGCTCTTTCATTCCCAACTTCGCAGAATCTGGAGGCACTGGGGCACCTAAAACGCCCTCGTTCATGTCTCGCATTTCTTCTTCCCCCTCCCATTCGGTCTCTGTGGAATCGAGTCCCTGATGAAGCGAAGCAGATCGAAGTCTGCAAGGCAATGAGTTAGCATCACACACCTCTGCATCCTAGACAAAGAGAACATGTAAAGGGATTAGTTTGTGTCTACATTTAAATTGGTGACTAAGGAAAGCATTATTTCCTTAACCTTTTCAATATCGGGTATCTATACGAGTAACATTCTGCACTGATTTCAATAGATTTTAGTGAATAAGGGCAGGTTAACAGTACTAATATCATATAAATAAAAGACTTAGTCATGCGATCCCAATTAATTCTCTACCGGACGAACTTGTATGCATATATCTGAATTTATCTTCACCTTGTCTACAGAGCAGAAATTTATTCCGCACTAGTTAGTTTGCGCTCAGTTTTCAATCACAATCAAGCTTCAAATAAAGTATATTTTTGCTACTTATATATAACCCTTCCGGAAAGTCCAATCTAAACAAAAATGACTTTAAATGAACAAATCAGACGTGTCTTAGTAAATTTAACTATAATCGAATCACTAAGCTTATCATCGAATTAAATACAGCCGCTTAATCTTAATATCTGTAAAGTTGTGCAAAAATACACCTTATTTAATCTTAAGGGTAATTTGAATAAAAACTTTGATTGACAGTTGATAGAATTAGTTTTGACATT